ATGTGGAAGCAAGGCATAAAAGCACACACTCTGGGAGTCAGCAGACCTGGTTTTCATCATTCCATACTTGGCTTCATGCCTCAGTTTTTCTTTTTTTAAAAATATTTATTTATTTATTTTATTATTTATTTTGGTTCCACCGGGTCTTAGTTGCAGCATGCAGGCTTTTAGTTGTGGCATGTGGGATCTAGTTCCCTGACCAGGGATCAAACCCCGGCCCCCTGCATTGGAAGCATAGAGTCTTACCCACTGGACCACCAGGGAAGTCCCTCTTTGTTTTTAAGGTGAAAGTTTTAGAGCCAGATTACAAAAAACCTTCCCTGCCCTGATGTTCCTTAATTCCACAGACCTACAAACATGATCACATTCATATTAGGCATGTGCACACACACTCATGGTCCCATGCAAACAGATTTTGTCTCTATGTTACAACAGCCCAAGCTTTCCTTATCCCAGAACCTTTCCCTTAAATAATTGTCTGGCAGTATTTATGGGAGAGGAAGGGGGAGCTTGAGGGAGGTGGTGAAGAGAAGCTGCCAAACATGTTGGCCTGAAGCAGGGCCAGCTCTCAGCCTCTATGAGGAATGTTTCCAAGAAGCTCAGGAAATTCCTGATCTCACTCCCACATTCTCTTGTTGCCTTGATCTCGCCGCCACATTACTCTCTCCCGTCTGCGGATCTGAGCCAAGCTAAAAACCTCCATGGGCTCTCAGGTCCCAGGAAGCCTAACAAGGCCTAGCAGAGGCTAGCTGCCAGCCTTGACTCTCAGAGGCTGCCTAAAGTTGCCTGAGAGGAAAGTCTGCCCTAGAAGCATGTTTGAAGTCCACTGGGATGACCTAGACCTCTGAACATGGCTTTGCACTGAGAAGAGCTCTGAACCAAACCAGATCTCAATGATGTGACTCTTTTAGAGATGCCTACCCACTAAGAGCCAGAAACTGCATGCCAGGGCTCAGCACTCACTGCTAGACATGGATGTTCATCTAGAAGGTCCTAAGCGCTTCCCTGGTGGTCCAGTGGTTAAGACTCCCCGCTTCCACTGGAGGGGGCACGGGTTCAATCCCTGGTCAGGGAACTAACTGCCACAAAAAAAAAAAAAAAAAAAAAAAAAAAAAGAGGAAAAGGACGAGGAGGAAGAAGATACAGGGCAGAGATGCGGAGTCTGGATCCCAAATGGCCCCTTTCCAGCTTACAGAGCTGAGATCTCAGAGGCTGCCTAAAGTTGCCTGAGAGGAAAGTCTGCCCTAGAAGCATGTTTGAAGTCCACTGGGATGACCTAGACCTCTGAACATGGCTTTGCACTGAGAAGAGCTCTGAACCAAACCAGATCTCAATGATGTGACTCTTTTAGAGATGCCTACCCACTAAGAGCCAGAAACTGCATGCCAGGGCTCAGCACTCACTGCTAGACATGGATGTTCATCTAGAAGGTCCTAAGCGCTTCCCTGGTGGTCCAGTGGTTAAGACTCCCCGCTTCCACTGGAGGGGGCACGGGTTCAATCCCTGGTCAGGGAACTAACTGCCACAAAAAAAAAAAAAAAAAAAAAATAGATAAGGAGTAGAAGGCCCTAAGCATAAGGGGACTTTGAGATGACCAAACCCAAGTCCTGGGTTTTACAGATTAGACAACTGTGGTCCAGAGAGGGCTACAGAGTGCCTTAGGGGCACAGCACAGGGAGCTGATAGTAGGGCAAGGACTACATTAGGTGCCCTGGCCCAATTATCCACCCAGCTGCAGGCTGAGGGAAGGTGGAAAAGGAAGGAAACTGACCCTGAATACAGGCCCTGCTCAGCCTTGTAGCAAGAAGAAACCAGAGGATGACATACAGTAGTGATGAGCTTTAAAGTACAGTCACCACACTGGCTAGTAAAACAGGCCTAGTGAGACTCTGTCCATTCAGATGAACAACTCCTTCTCTATTGTTAAGTAAGAAGACAATAAGGGAGTGGGAAGGGAGATAAGTGCTGGAGGGAGGAAGCTGAGATGAAACCATCCCACCTACACTTGCTGCAAGCCACAAAGAAACCTAAAATACATGGGAATTTACTGAATGATTTGCAGAGGTGTTTGAGATTAGTCCCCTAGAAAGTGGCTCCTGGGAGACAGTTCTGAGATGCTTCCAGGTATGCCACGGTTTAGTCTTCAGGAGGTACACTTTCATTCTGAAACTTCTATGCAGGACCTCCATCATGCATCATGAATCATGCACATGGAGGGCTGCCCCACATTTGTGATCAATTTCCCAAACCAATATTGAGGCGCCTTCTGCTATGGGCAGGTAGATTCAAAGCCCTTTAGTGCTCCCACTTGCTCTGTGAGGGCTGAATCAGTCTCAGGAGGCAAGAGTGGCGATTGGGAGCAGCCTTTCATTTTCCAGTTAGACAGAAAGTGTAAAGTGCAAATACTGATGAGGCAGCACTTGGAAAGAAAGAATCTGACGCGATGGCCCTTTACTCTGTTCATTGAAGGTATGGGTGACCGATCCGTTTCAGGCTGGAAGACTATTGGCTGCTGGAATTGAAGGGGAATTTACCAGAGAGAGAGAGAGACAGGAGAAAATCAGCATATCAGAAGAGGCAGAAGACACTATGATTTTGTCGGTACAGGTAAAATTGCAGGAGTAAGGTGGACGCTGGGATGCATTTACCTGTCCACCGAGAAAGCAGAATTCCTGAAGCTTGTTTGGTTTGAAGACTCTTCTGAAAATTAACATTATCCTTCTTAGAAGAATCACTGGATATGGTCATTTCTGTCTTTAAGCAGGTACCCATCTTCACATGTTAGCACCTCAATTTTATGATGAATCTGCCTGGGTCAGTCTCCTAGAAGAGGTTAATACTCCTTTATTTGTGGGATAGCAATAGTTGCCCCACAGAACAGAGACCTCTGATTTTTCTCCCGACGACTGGTGTTTCTCTCCTTGACTCTGCATGATGGCTCTAGGACAAGACTTGATCTTCCCCCGCCCGGAGTCCTCCTATTCAGAGCACTTTCCGCCCCACCTCACTCCCGTTTCCCTGGCTGTGCAGGTCTGCACCCGGACCATCCGCTAGCACCTATCACTTTATTCCCCGGGTGGAGACTCACAGTGGTCCCATGGCCAAGAAGGTGCATGGAACCAGTAGCCAGAGCTGGTGATTGTGCAGAATAGATGCAGCAAAGCTCCAGGTGAGTGTTCAAAACAGATGTACTGAAGTGTTCTCTTAGCACTAGCAGGAGGGAAAATGAGGAGCTTTGGGTTTGGAAACAAGAGTGAGATGAACTTAAGAAAAATTCTGTCCAAAGGAAACAGAACTAGAAACTTAACGTTTCCCTTTTTTCCCTCCTCCATCCTCACTGCTTGTAAGGAGTGAGATCCCCGCTACCAACAAAGTAACTGGCCACCCCCTGACCCAAAGGCCTCCTTCCTCTTACAGAAGCCCCAGAGCTAAGCATTCACTTTACCTAAAAAACACACGATCACTTCCAACATTTATAAATGTAGCACACAAAGACAATGACAGAACTGGTCAAACTGGTTGGCAGTAGGACCTTTCTCTAGTTCTATGACCTTGTCTAGAGCTTGACGCAGGTGTAAACAGGGGGTCATATGAAATGATTAAGTGGTGACAGAAGCCATGTTTAGGCTTTTCAACGCATGTAAGAAAGGGTTGCCAAGAAGTGAGTAGACTCATAGGCCAAGTGCCCTGGGAACCTGTGAGAGCCCCCAGCAAGCTCAGGCAGAGAAAGCCATGACTCCACAGCACTCAGTGAAGGAGGCAGACTGGGGCGTTTCCTTCTTGAGGAAACTCCAATAGCAGAGAGAGCAATGACAGGGAAGCCAGGAGACCCAAGGTCTAGTCTCAGTCGGACACTAACGAGCAGCTGCCGTGTGCAGGTCGCTTAACCTTTCCGAGATTCAGGTTGCCCCTCTGTAAAAGGCGGGGGTTACATTAGGTCAGGGATGGCCAGCGGGTCGCACACACACCCTCACCTCTCTCGAGCCTTCGGTAGAGGCCACTGTTCCATCGCTTCACTGTTTAGGTACTTTTCTACAGCATTCTAGGCAGGCACTTCCAATCACAGTTGGTCCACAAGCTGAAATCTACTTATCCTCCCCCCACTTGATGATCGCTGAAGTCCTTCCTAGCTCCTGAATGGAGGGGTTCCAACTTTGTAAGGAAGAGGGGACCAGCTTTCTGATTTCGCAATAGCTCCCTCAAAAAAAGGAAGATGGAAATTTAGGGACATAACTTCATACACTTCTCCTCCCAGCCTGAGGCCGAGCAGGGTCTTCCCAGGGTCACGCTGTCCTTCCTTCCGTGCCAGAGATTTTTGTATCTGAGCTCCGCCCTCTGTCAGCTCGCCCAGCGTGACACTGTCCCAGACCATAGCTCCTTTTTATCTAAAGTAGCCCACACTTTAAAACTATATTGGGCATCAAGGAACCCACAAAGAAGGAATTATCTCAGGTCAGTGAAAATCAAAAGTCGGAAGAGGTGGCATCTAAGGATTCCATTCGCCACTCACCAAAGCTAACCAGACTCACGGTTCTCACCCTTGTCAGGAGAGCGAGCACACAAACAGCACCTGGATGGGGACAGCAACAGGAATTCAACTGGTTGCAACTGTGTTTTATTGAAAGAAGCAGTGACGTGGTCAACATAGGCCCCATCTCACAACCCACTCCTCAACCCCCAAGCCACGCAGGGGTCAGCCTCAGGCCAGGGGAGCACGTGTGTGTGTGTGTGTGTGTGTGTGTGTGTGTGTGTGTGTGTGTGTGTTGGATAAGAGCCCTAATTAACTTGAGTTATTGCCCTCAAGCCAGGGAAGCATGTGCTTGTGTGTGTGTGTGTGTGTGAGTGTGTGTGTGTGTGTGTGTGTGCGCACGCACGCGCGCATACACGCAGAGGAGGGGGGTAGATGAGAGCCCTAACTAACTTGAGTTCTTGCCTGCAGGGCAAGGAAGCGAGAGGGGGAGAGGCAATGAGGTGGGGCATCTCTGGCTTCAGGTAGAGACCTACACAGAACCGTCAAAGTGGACTGGCACATACGGGTCCCCCTCACAGGCCACGATGATGTGTTTCTCCTTCTGGCTGGTCTTGTAGGCACAGTTGGGGTACTTGGAGCTGCCCGTCTCGCGGCACTCTGTGATGTACATGGTGGAGTTGCTCTCATAGCAGTTGGTCTTCCCATTCTTGCAGTGGACGTTTTTCTGGGAGCAGACGGCCTTGACATCTTCCAGGGACTCGTGCACAAACGTGTTCACTGGCTTGCACCGTCCCTGGGTCATTTTTCGGCGCATCATCATTTGGTTGCAGTAGTTGGAGTTGTTGCCTGGGGAGCTGCCGGAGTCCATGTGCTGCCGCTGGAACTTCATGGCCGGCGATTCCTTGCCCAGAGAAGGCTGGACCCACCCCAGCACCAGCAGCGCCAGGACCAGCCATGGCAGCAGGACCAGGGACTTCCGAGCCATGGTGGTCTCACTGCCCTGGAGGAGCCTGCCCGGGAAAAGGGGGAGAGGAGGAATAACATCACCTTAGAAAGAGAACCCCAGCTCCCACCTGTAGCCTCCCTGGCTTACAGCCTCCAGGTCAACCAGAAAGACGTCTCTCTCCCTGCGAGCTTTTCCAAGTAACGAGACAATCACATATACACTTCTCCGCAAACATTTGATTCCCACTCCCTACAGAGAGGCCGTCCTCCCCTCTGGGTGGTGACCCCAGAAATGACCTAAAATCCTAGCAGCCCTGTCTTTGAATACAGAAATATTTTTGGTACAAAATACCTTTGAAACATAAAACACCTCTGCACCCAGCGCTCACACGGCTCATTAGAAGATGCTTTTGAATAAAGCATTAAATAAATAATCCAAATTTTGAATAAGCCAAATTGTATCCCTGAGATAACCACCGAGTATTCATCCAGGATCACGGTGGACAGAGCCCTGTTGTCCTACAACACAAGGGAAACTCAGCCCCAGTGTTTTACCCTGGCACCGTAAAGGGATGCCATCGTGTTCCAAGGCGAGATGCTCTCCCCCAGCCTGGGGGCTGCTCCTTCTCCAGCCCCATGGGCTCTCTGCAGCCGACGTGCTCCATTCCTGACCCCAGCTCTGGCCCCTGCCCACATCTGCCTGGCCCGATTCTCAGGCTAGCCTCACCCACCCTGGCTCCCCACTCTCCAACCCTCAAGCAGAAACAGCTCCTGTGTGCCTCTTGGGCTGCTTACCTGGGTCTCTAGCTTGGTCTCTGAGACAGAAAAGGCAGTTTCTGCAATCACTCTATCCCAGGGGTGTGGACTTTATACAGATTAAGAGGAGGCTTGGCTTCCAGGAAGAGACCGGTGGGAGGAGCATCTTGGTCTCCGTCCACAGGAAAACAAGGTCATGTGAGGAAGGGGTGGGGAATTGCCCAGGCCACCCTTTTTTCAGGGCTGCTGGGGAGAGCAAGCCTTTGCTTATAAGAACCTTTCTTTCTATAAGCAGCAGAGAAAGCCACTATAGCACTGATGCTCGAACCCCAACCAAGTCCTTGTTGTCTCTTTGCAAGCCATTTTCACCAAATAGCCCTTGGAGGTTAGCAAAATGCACATAACATGTGATCACGGGAAGGGGAGGGAAAGGGAGGTCCTCTCTTGCCCTGGGAGTCCTGGAGCTGCTCTGGCCAGAATTCCACATCTCCCACCAGCTCCTCTGCTGGGGGAGCAGGGAGAAGCGGCCAGCTGCCCCCAGCTGGAAGGCTTCCCGGATCTGGAGGGGAAGGGGTGGAGTACCTGAACACGGAGGAGTAGAAAGCAGCTTCGTTCGGTGTGACCTCACCCAGTTGTGGCCACTTCAACAGTCCTGGGCTGTTGAAGGAGGGTGTGTGGCCATTCCTATCTATAGTGACCTCTCATCCCATAGGCCAGAGTGGAGGAGAGGAGATAGGGATGAGCCCAAATGCAAAATCCCCTTTAGAGAAGAAATAGAGAACATCATATTTCTTAGCAGCAAAATTCCACCCTAGAAAAAGACGTGCATTTGCTGGAAGACAATTTTATTTTTATTTATTTATTTATTTATTTATTTGCGGTACGCGGGCCTCTCACTGTTGAGGCCTCTCCCGTTGCGGAGCACAGGCTCCGGACGCGCAGGCTCAGCGGCCATGGCTCACGGGCCCAGCCGCTCCGCGGCATGTGGGATCCTCCCGGACCGGGGCACGAACCCGTGTCCCCTGCATCGGCAGGCGGACTCTCAACCACTGCGCCACCAGGGAAGCCCTTTATTTATTTTTAAAGTATAGTTGATTTGCAGTATTGTGTTAGTTTTAGGTGTACAGCAAATTGATTCAGCCAGATGAAATGGAGGACAATTTTAATCCCTTTGGAGTGAGAATTATCAAAATATCTCTCCATGCTCTAGGTTTACACTACCTTAGTCCAAATTCTGGTTTAGCACCTTAAGCCCAGGGCAAGTTTCCTCATCTCCAAAATGGGGATGATAATAACATGTTCCTTTTAGATTTGCTATTAAGACAAAATAAGGTAAGATGCAGAGGGTTTAGAACAGTGCTTAGAAAGCCAATGACGGTTCACGTGGTGGTGGTGGGGTTAAGACCTCCCACAAGGAGTCTGTTTAAACAATACTGGGTGATCTCCGATTTGCTTTCCACAGGAGGCGGAGTCAAGTAACTGCCTGGCAAAACTTTTGTTTTGCTAAAATCCAGAGCTGAAAATAGCGGGCAGTTTCAAAGCCCTGGGGAGTGAAAGGGAATGCGGAAGAGAGAGGAGAGGAAACTTGACGGGAAGAACAGAATTCTTTAAGGGGAAAATTTTAAATTGTTCCGCCACATGAAATCCAAGAAATTTTTGGTGAAGTCAGCATTATTTTCTAGTGTGTATAAATTTGGAAGTGGAAGTGGGGTCAAGGAGGACATGGTGAGGCATGAGCTTTTAGTCTCATGTTTTTGTAGTTTACCTACCACCCAGGTTTTCTTTGCTTCTTAGTCTTTGGATCATACTCATACCATCTTGAGTGCTGTTGGAAGGAAAACTTTTCCTCTACCCATTTATGTCCTGCTATGGAGGTCTGTGAATTAACTGACAAAAGACAGATTAACAGAAGAATTGACCAAGTTTATTCATCTGCATGCGGAGGAGCACAAAAGAGGTAGTCCCTTGAACAGCTAGGGATAAAGGTTTATACATCAACTTAATGGTGGGGGGGGGGAGCAAATAGGGACTCAAGGAAATAAATGGGTTTTTTTTTTTAAAGAAAGATAAATGAGCTTTGGGGGGAATAAATGGGACGTAAAATAATTTGTGATAATGTTTGTCTTTGCAAGTGTGAGTAGTGTGTCTTGTCCTGGCTGCAAAACTCCCCTAAGGGGATTTATAGCAGCTTTACTCTCAGAAGACTCTGCCTTTATTCAGATGAGGGAAGCACCAAAAAACCTTCTTTCTGCATCTGCTGGGTTTCAAATATCTTCAGTTTAAAACAACCTTCATATTAACTCTGCAGATATGAGACGGTTCCCACAGTAACAAATTTAGAATTTGTTCATTTATTCATTCAACAGTGGGAATACAGAAATAAGTTACAGGGTCTGCCCTAAAGGTACCTGATAGGATAGTTTGTCTTCATCAGGTGAGTCCCACCAAGGTGTTGGGCATGGCTGCACGAAAACAGTCATTCATTTGGCACCTTTCCCGTGCCAGAAGAATTTCAGGGAGTTGGTCCAACAAGAAGATTTCAGAGTCACAGTTCAAATATGAATAAGTTTTCTGTAACCCAAATAAGTTTCTTCAGTAGCCTACCCCAGAGCATCCCAAACTATAAGAAGTCATTTTTTTTTTTTTTTCAGTACTTGGGCCTCTCACTGTTGTGGCCTCTCCCGTTGCGGAACACAGGCTCTGGATGCGCAGGCTCAGCGGCCATGGCTCATGGGCCCAGCCGCTCCGTGGCATGTGGGATCTTCCTGGACCGGGGCACCTGCATCGGCAGGCAGACTCTCAACCACTGCGCCACCAGGGAAGCCCTATAAGAAGTCATTTTGCCTGTTTGTGCATGGCAATCTGGACAAACCCTTGGGGTTGTTTTTGTTTGTTTCTTTCTTTGGGCTGTGCTGTGTGGCTTGGGGGATCCCAGTTCCCCAAGCTCACACCTGGGACCCTCCACCCCCGCCCCCCCCTGCAGTGAAAGCGTCAAGTCCTAACCACTGAACTGCCAGGGAATTTCCAGCCTTGGGGTTTTAATTCAACTTCATGGAAACAATCAAAAACCCATCCTTGCTATAGCCTTACCCTTGGCCTTCTTGCCTTAGGGCAAGAGCTACAGTTGCAAAAGTTGATGCTTCTGCTAAACTAGCTCTAGGCTCCCTGCTTGATTCATGGTTCCTCATGCAGTAAGACATTACTACTGACTGAGAACACACAACACTTTCCAGCCAGTCCACTAACTCCTTGTAAGATTCGATTACTCTCTCCATCTCACATACTGTTCACCACAGAAGCACCCTGAATCCTGCCATTCTCCTGCTGCTACCAGAAGAAGGGGAGCCTCATGATCATCTTACGTTGGTAGGGAACTTTCTGTATCTCACTCAGATTTATTATAGACTCCTATTGACACTCCTATTCAGTGCTCTCACTGACCTAATTTTTTTTGTTGATGAATCATACCTCAAAACTGAAACTGGAGGTTATCAAGCAGGATATAGTATCACTAACCTAAACTCTTCAAAATAGAGCTTGTCAACTAGCCAAAGACCAGCGAGTAAACATACAGACAGCAGGTATGCTTTTGGAGTAGTATATGATTTGGGGATGCTTTAGAAACAAGCATCAAAATGGACAACAAGTTAAGGAAATTTTAGATGCATTCCTACTTCTTAGAGAGTGGTTATTCTAAAGATTGAGGCCCACATTACAAGAGATGATACGGAAGGTAAAGGATTGCTCTAGCAGATCATTATGCCAAAGAAGCTGCTTTAACCAAGATTATGATTTTATCTAAACCCTCAAAGAATAAATCTCTGGAAGGATTCAACACGGTCCTTATAAAATATCAAAATTTAGCCCCTGATTTTTGAAAAAGAAGAATGAAAAAATTCTGGTTGTACTCTTCACTTAAATAATCCCTGATGCTCTCAAGACAGCTGCTTGGTGACTTTCATAGCTAGAGAGAAGTCAATACCTGGCTTCAAAGCTTCAAAGGACAGGCTGACTCTTGTTAAGAGGTTAATGCAGCTGGTGACTTTAAGTTGAAGACAGTGCTCATTCCCATTCTGAAAATCCTAGGGCCCTTAAGAATTACGCTAACTCTACTCTGCCTGTGCTCTATAAATGGAGCAACAAACCCTGTTGTAAGCACATCGGCTTACAACATGGTTTACTAAATATTTTAAGTCCACTGCTGAGATCAACTTCTCAGAAAAGAAGATTCCTTTCAAAATATTACTGGTCTTTGACAATGTACCTGGTAACCCAAGAGCTCTG